AAAGTGGACCCAAACAAAACCAAAATGTTGATTTTTATGAGGAATTTTTTACGAAATTTTGACTTAATAAACTTGGGAAAAGTAAAAAAAATATATATTTATGGTGTTCTCTATTTTTTTTATTGACAGCAGTATTAGATCCCTACGGCTACAACACGTATGTTGGTCAAGTCAATCCCAGCCGTGGGATCTTGCCAGCCTGCGTTGTTGTGGAGACAGGTCGTTTTACGATCTCCTGGTGGACGAGCTTCGACGGCTTATACGAGCGGCTCTCCGTTTCCGTAGCCACTCTGAATTCCAACGCTGAATGCTTATTGGCTCCCTCTTCCTCAGTGAGAAGGTTTGCCTGATCAACCACGAATCCCTGACATTGCGCAATTTGCACAAGTACATACAAGTGACAGTCTTTTGGAACGCACGCTGCATTATTCAGAACGGCTACCTACAGAATCGAAAATGAGATTAAATGAGAATTTGAAAAAGAAACAACCAAACTTCGACAAGAAACTTATTAAATCACGGGGAGCAAATAATATTTGATGTCTTAAACACTTAAGAAACTATGGAGCAAACTTCCGTATCTACAAAACTTGAATTAAAATCAAACTTAGAATAATAATATTTTAACTCTAATAATAAATTTTAAATGAATAAAATGTGTATAGAATGAAGAAAATTGTCATATCCGTGTTTAAAACTAGATAAGGAAATACTCAATTATAAAATCAATCTTACTTAAATATTAGAGCATTAATTATAAGATGTACAATACAGTACAGTTCGCAGAAATGTATGAACTTGTAAAGAGCAGCATAGACGGTTCATTCTCCACGCATGCTACGGGTCTTGCGGGCTCTGCAGACCGATTTGGGTACAGAATTAGCAGTATTTTGCTGAAATCCATTGTCGTTCGGTCATCGTCCGACGGACAGCCAGTGCCACTGCCACTTTTGCAAAGCCGTGAACCGCAATGTCTGGTCTTCTCCGATCTTTCTTATTGTGACCCGGGTAACATGCCGTCCACGTGGAGACCTCCCGAGGCATCGAAGAGTGAGCGAAGATAGACCTACAGATTTTAAATTCTGCTTTTCGTGATCTGCTCAAGCTCCTGTCCAACAGGCCGACCAGCCGACCGAGCCATATTTGTCTGTGCTCTCTCCTCTCCTGACTTGTAGAAAGATGCGCTCACGTAAGCTACAAATTAATGTCCAATGAACTTTGTAACTGGTTTTTTTTTTGTAATTTTACCCGATGATGCGACTACTTTCGTCGAGCAGTCGAAACACGGCTCATCAATCAAGCCCGCAGAACCCCCTTCCTGCCACCTACAACCACAACTCCAGTGAGGAAAAATGCTGTGCGACAGTGGCAGAAGAACCCGGCATTAACGACCTGTCTGCTCATAGGCAGATATGCCCATGAGAGTATCCTGGACGTACAGACTCGATCAGTTTTCTGCACGGTGGTACGGCAGTTAGTGATGTAATTGAATGTAATCCACACACGATAAGAGTCCGTCCAATTAACATTAAAACAAGAGTGTCAGTTGTTATTTCAGAGACAATAGCCAAAGTTGATGTACATTCTGCCAAAGCTGTGTCTCTAGCTTTCAAAACTGAGCGTTGCATCAAGGATATTGATCGTCGTCGAGTATGAGCACTTAAGAGGCTATTAGTCTTCCGACGCTTCAGACTTTGAAATAAAACACAGTATTTTAAATTTAAATTTTTCTCAGAAAAGATTGATTGCAGCGCATTGAGGTTCACGAGAATCCGCCTCTACACTCGGATGTAACGGATGTAATCGACACAGTAACAGTCCGCCTTCAGAGGCTCTCTGTTAATCGTGGCGAGTATGGGTCGTAGTGTTGCTGGGGCAAAATATCCTGAAAGGGGATTCACGCTGATAACACATCTCGACACGATTTTTCAGCTTTGATCCAAAAAAAATAGTTTGATGATACTTTTTTTTTGTCTATGGCAGAACTTTTTATACCCAGTACTCGAAGAGTAAATAGAAATAAATAGAAAAAGTGGATGTACATATGTTTTTGTATGTATAGCAGAGAGGGAAACGCTTATATTTCTCACACAAGCTTGGAAATGCAAAAATGTTGAATTTTGAAATTGAAGCGGAAGAAATGAAGTTCAATTTGTTCAAGTAGTTTATCTAATGTATGTACAATGTTCCCTCTCAGTCCTCTCCTTGGCCTGCAGTCCACAGGCTACAGATATCCTCCTTTTACTCAAGGTGTTCTAAAAATGCTCCACTCCCATCCAGTCCATAAAAATCCTTCTAGTCCATTAGTATATCTAGAAAACTACAATAAACATGTTTGTTTTGTGTTCTTTATACCCGGTACTCGAAGAGTAAATATGGTATATTGTATTTGTGCACAAAGTGGATGTAAATACATATGTAACGCACAGAAGGTAACATTTCCGACCCCACAAAGTATATAAATATGTATATTCTTGATGACCTGTCCGTCTGCCCGTCTGTCCATCCGTATTGCGGAGCGCTTGGATCTGAGACACTATAAAAGCTAGAGCCACCGAATTTTGCCTACAGACTTCTGTGATACACTGATTCAAGTGTATTTCAAAAATTACCCATGCCCCCTTCTGCCCCCTCAAAGGTCGAAAATCTGCGGTATCCACAATTTTAAAGGTAACTAAAGGTAACTGTTGATAGCGACGAAAGTATACTGGCGGTAAACTCCCTGACCCTTATCGTATGGTGGTTTTGCGTTTTTGTTGCTGTTGCTTGTTTAACTTTAACTTAGCTTTCACTTTAACTTAACGAGGCCTTAACGATGCAATGGTACCTAAAATTAAATTTGTATTAATTTAAATATAAATGTAAATTAGTTTGAAAAGATCGCAGCTCCGTTCCATGGTTGCCAGTGTGAAGACGGATTTATCTATAAAAATATATCGACATACGCTCGGAAAAATACCGAAACATACCCTTTCATTTTCAAAGTATACTGTAAATATACCGTAGTCTTAAATGGTTTTTCTCGATTTTGATGTTCTATTTGATATTACTAGCTATTTAAGAGTCTCCGCACTAAAATTATAATTTTATCAAATTTTTTAAATCAATTCTCCACATATTGGCTAGTTTTCACGACTTCCTATTGTTGGAATGTATACAAATTAAGTTTAAAATTAAACAACGGTACGTGAATGGAAATGGATTGTTACGTATTGACAATTTTTTGCTTGCAAGCCGGACAAATACATAGTATGAGAATTTGTATACCCTAATTCCATAAATTAATATTAAAATATAATTTTCACAATAGCTGTCAAATATTAATAATGACTCTACTTATCTTAGAGTGCCAAGTTTTTAACCTTTCCTAATTTTATCTATGTACAGACATATGTATGTATATCGCTCTATAACTTGAAACATTTCTTTGATATAAATGTGCAACATAAATTGACTTGTTATTGCATTGATTCCAGGATAATCCTTCCCACTAGGGGTACTTAATGTCGCTTATTCGGTGCCAAATGTTGGGGAACAGTGCTGCTCACTTTTCGCAGCATGTATCTAACTTGTTGCATCAAGTGGCCCATACATATTATGTTATTGAATAAAGACTCATTGTTGCGATGAAAATTCCCATGTTGCGAGAGAGAAATATCCCTTCCAAAGAACTCCTCCAGGAACATTTGAGAACATTTGCGTTGGGAGTTTGGAAACCCTATATTATTGAATATACCTAGAAAATGGAATTTGATAGACGGATGAAATTCAGTAACATACCATTATAGTAGTCAAAATATCCTGAAAAATATATAAAATATTTGAAATGGTTTCTCTGCGAAACATCCGCTGGTATTGTTTTGGGATATGTTGGTGTATTTCTATACACATATATCATGACAAAAGCTGACTAGCATGAGTCTCATGTGTGGAGGCTGCCAAAGCGCCACCTATTGCAGAAGAGCAACACTACTTCTCCAGAATCTGTTCTGGCAACGCTATGTCAGCAGCTTAGTTGCCAGACAGACATAAAAATGTCATGAACTGCGCCCTTTTGAACGTTTCCCGCTAACCGTACGCCTTCTCTGGGCATAACTTCCACGGAGTAGGCGTCTCCACTGCGACGACCGCTCACGTAATATGATTTAATTAAATTAATAAAAAAACAAAATATTCGTTCATAAAAGCAATAAATAATGGTTTATTAAATAGAATATAGCATTTAACTAATGCATATATTGTCCAAAAAGTCAAAGTTTTACGTATCCATTCTCCTCTCGCTAATCCCATTGACGATGCCGAGGCGCATAAGAGCGGAAAATTAATTAAGTTCACTTGCATTTTTGCGCACTCATTAATTAGTGGACGGTAATTCCCTTCGTTTTGCCTCTTAAGTCAGCCGCGTTAAGTTGCCGTTAAGTTAATACGGATTCTTGAGCAATCAGAGTACGCATTAGTGGGTTTTGTCAACCTGATTGGCCGGAAGTTGCCCTCGTTAGGAAGCGTTTAGCCCACCCACTCTGCAGCTCCTCACGCCATCCCATCCCCCCTCAAAACACTCTTCAACCAATAACAACCTTTCCGCAATTAACCTGCAGCCGCTCGTCTCCCTGCGAAAGTGGATGGGGCGTGGGGACTGCAATTAATTAAAAATCACATTTCAGGACAAATTAGGATTTTTTTTAATATTACATCGTCTAGTGATGGTTCTAGTGAAGGTTCCAAGAGAAGGATAATTCTTATCAAAACAATACTGAGTAGATGATGCCCACCAATTATAAATTCCATAAGAGAGTACCCCAGAGTAAATGAGTGCATAATTTTGACCATCTTAGATTAAATGCGAACCCCACCCACTAGACCATATAATCATGTAATTTCGCTGCTTATGACAATGCGCCTTTTATTGTTGCATTTTTTGAGAATTTGTTTGTTTTGTTTTGTTTTGCTTTGCTCTTTTTCTGTATTTAATGTAGATTATGTTTTTCTTTGTGTGTGTTGTCGGTTTTTCGCGTGTGTGAGTGTGTGAGTGTGTAGAATTTAAATACATTTATTATTAAGTTTAAATTTATGCTATGCACTTCGATCTGCGTTTAAAACATAAAAAATTGCACCGCTCGTTGTTGGTTTTTGTTTTGTTTTTATTTTCTCCTTCTTGGCTAGCTCCCTCTCTCTTTCTCTCTCTCTCTCTCTCTCTCTTCATCAGCACTTCACTGACTTAACGGTAAATGTTGGCTAGGTTTAACTTTAATCTCTCGTTTTTCGGATCGCAGTTTCCGGGCTTCGAGTTTCGGCACGAATATTTTTCTTCCCTAAGTCATAGACAAGTTCAACTCCTCGCTGCCATTGGAGGATGGTGGTCAGAAGATCACTGTCAGAGGCCGTCGAAAGTCCGCGGCGGCTGCACCTGCACTGCCGCCACCTGCTGCCCCTCCAGACGATGTCGTGACGCCTACTCCACCCACACCGCCAGCTCCCACGGACGCTACGCTGGCCAGCTGCCCGCCGTACTGCTGGGCGTACTGAGCGTAGTCGAGACCCACGTCGCTGGGCGAGTGCAGATGGGGCTTGGCCTCCACTACGATGCTGCCACCGCCACCTTCCAGCTGGGGCGTGGCGTCGCGCTCGTCCAGCCCGCTGCTGCTGTTGTTGTTGTGGGAGCCGGCACTGCCTCCTCCAACTCCACCTCCACCTCCACCGGCACTGCCTGCCATTAGCAGCTGCTGCTGATGCTGCTGTTGCTGCTGCTGCTGCTGCTGGTGATGGGCTGCCGCATGCTGCTGGGCTCCGTAGATCTTGGATATGTCGAAGGCATAATTGGCCGCCCGATCCTGGTACATCTTAGAGTCAAAGTAGGCCTTGGTCAGCACACTGGGGTCCAGGTAGGCGCTGTAGGCGGCAGCACTCGCCTGGCTGCCCGCATTGCTCATTGCGTTGCTCAGATACGAGCTCCTCTCCAGGGCGAACTTGTCCATCTGTCCGGAGAGGGTGGCCTGATAATTTGATAAATGTTAAATACATAAATGACATATTTGGTATTTCTACTGCAAACTAATCACTTATGGTACCCGCCAACTGCCTATATTCAAAGGATCCTATGTCCTTCCCAATAGTAAACTTTTGGGCTGTTTTAATATTGATTCGTTCCAATGAACAACATGAATGCCAGACACCTCCAGACAACATATCTTAATTATTTGTTACATGTTGCGTTCCTATAGTAACCCCATCGAGCATGCTGCAAGTATTCGCCACTTTATCAGAGTAAACCTCAAAGATCTGGATTGGGTTAACCTTCAGATTAGTGCAAATTGCTCAACACTTTTGTGGCTTTATTTGACCAACTAATTGTGGACGACAACAACCCCTGGCTGCCCAGCCCAGCCCTTCTGAACCTCCCCCGCCACACAAACCCCAGGCATACCGAAACCATCTCAATTTAATTTTATTTGATTTGCAATACGTTTTTCATTGCTACACCAGTTGCTAGTTATTCTTCATCGGCTGCTTTTTCCGATGCTGATGCTGATGCTGATGGAAGATTCGGAATGGGAATGTAAACGGCTACTAAGCACATCTGAGGGTTGTTTCGCTTCATTTCCGTTTTGTTTTGAGTGGTTGCTGCCAAGCCATACCATGCCATACCATGCCATACCATGCCATACCATGCCCATGGCGAGGGGTTGTGCTGCGTTGCGCTCCCCTTTCTGCAGAACACTTTGCTCTGGGCTATAATTATGTTGTTAACACATCATCATCACCATCCTCATCGTCCTCGTCGTCCTCAGTGCAGGGTTCCCCAACTCGGTGCTCAAGCTTGTGTGCCGAGAGCGTTTTGGATTACAATTTGATTTGATTTGCACCCAATTGGGAATTAATGCGGATTCGTAAATATTTTGATGCCTTGCTGTTACTGTGGACATTTCGTTTTTCTCGGCTCTGTGGGTTCTGGGTACATATCTGCGCGGCAGGTAATTGATTTAGAGCCCGGTTTTGTCTGAGTGGGTTATGTTGTGTTGTGTTGTGTTGTCGAGCAGGTGTGCCGTGCGATGTCACTCGGTGTTTGGTCAGGGGTTTTGTGTCAGCTGTGTCAATATTGAACTTCAATTGAAGAGTCCTCTTTGCTCTATTTATCTCCCATATAAATATGTATAAGAATATATCTACATATATTTAGTTATCGACAAACGCATAGGAAGTTTTAAGGAATTCCTGCGAAAGTATCTCAGTTAATTGCAGCTAACAACCACACGGGTGAAGTTCCCAAGGTCCACAAAAACCCTCAGGGATAGACCATCCAATGGATATACTATCGTCTCAACAACTATGTCTCTGATGCTTGAGCTTCAGCTTGGAATTCCTGCTGATCGGAAAGCCATGGTCCAAGCTATTTTACTGTCAGAAGCTTACATATTTGTATGCCTCTCTTTTTTGTTGGGCATTTCTTTCATCTCCCACCGCTAGAGCGCCTCTAGTACAGTGAAAGCCTGTGAACAATAGTTGAAGGTATGCTGTCAGCAATTTGCCCTGTCAGGTATTTGGTAACCGCCTACTATAAAGTTTTCCTATACGATATGAGGGCTCCCAGCCATCCTCCCCATCCTCCATCCTCCATCATTCAATCAAGATTTTGTTTGGCTTAAACTTAGTCTATTATTATGGTCGAGGAGCGATGTGCGGTGTGTTATTATTAGTGTTAATGCCAGGCTTTCAACACCCGCATCGAATCGCATCTTCAACGCCACATCAATCACGGAGTCAAATAGGCTTCTGCCTCAGAATTACATACTTGCCCCTGAACAGAGCGGACAATGGCGAGCGAGAGTCATGCATTTTAATGGGTGTTGAGGGGGCTGTATTGCTGACCACCTGGACGTGGAGGGAGCCTCTAAGCTGGAGCCATTCGTAGAGCTATTGGCGAGCCTTAGCAGCTGCCTTAGAGGTCTGACTAAAACAGTTCCACTTTGAGGACATTTCATCTCGATCATAAGTCCTGTCACACCTGTCCTGCTCTGTTTGTTTTTGCTCCTGGTTACTGCCTGCCTGCCCTTGTTTATAACGATAAAGGGGAACCCCGTTTCGCTAAACATGTAATGACAACTGGCTGTGGCCAAATCCTTTGGCATGACATGTCAGAAAACTCAATTGGGCCAGGATGCCTCCGGCTTGCGCTTAGTCACGGCCACCGGACCGCATTTTTTCCACCTTTTAAAGTGGGCGTCAGCCGTAGGAGTTTGTAATTATGTTATTAAGGCGGCCCAGGGCAAACGCTATCACCTCTCCCTCCATCCCATTCATCGATGTACGCTCCACGAGTATTCATACTCATACTCATACTCATACTCATACTCGTATCTTTAATTGGTCTTCGCTACCGTTCAGTATTTTTGATGGACGTGCTGGCACTTGAGAATGTCCCAATGTTCCAGGGACAGGTGTGGCAGGGGGAGGGGGGCGGGTGGCAAAGAGAGAGAGAGAGACTCACCTGTGTCGTGGTCGGCGTCGATGTCTGGCTGAGATGGCTGCCCAGGTGATATGCAGCCGCTGTGGGACCGGGAGCGAAGTAACCGGGCGTAATGCCTGCAAGTGAAGCAAACAACCAGAGATGAGATGAGATGAGATGAGCTCGGCTCGATTCGGATTCGGGTTCGGTTCGGCGAGTGAAAGAAAAAGAGTTTACAACAATTATCACTGTGCGTAGATGCACAGTGGTGCCAAGATCGCAGAAATGTTGGAGAAAATGGGTCTCACTCTAAGAGACTTTAATTCAATGAGAATGTGGTAGAAGGTATAACGTATAAAGTTAATACTAAAATGTAATATCAATTGAAATTTCTATCAAAGTATTTTGTCTCTTGTCCACTGTGCAATGGTTTCTATAGACTCCCCTTGGTGTGTTTAAATTTAAAAATAATTGCCACTCGAAATATTTGCGCCCTTTGTTCGATCAACTCTTTCATTTCTTTTAAAAACAAATTTTTTCTTTAGTGGTCGCCATTTAATTGTACGCTGAATCAGCTATTTTACTGGAAGATGAGAACGGCCACAGAGGGAAAGAGTGAGTGCGTGTATCCACGTATCTGATAGATACTCTCTGAACGGCACTCATTATCAATTGCCCTAAACGGTAGTCGTCCAGCTGCTCTCTTGGCCTTTTATGCACAAGTTGATAATTGCAGGCGCCGCTTATTGAAAAAACAACCAAATTTATTTCATTGATGGCGCTACGGGTTTGATTGAAAGAGTTTTTCGACGGAGTCAAGAAAAGCAATTAAATTCGGTTAGACAACAAAGTTTCACTGTTTCTGAAATAATTATTTTCAACTCATTGAACATTTGAAGTAGCGACGGTTTCGGATGCCACCATCATTGTTATTATTATAATAGCGGATTAGGTAGCTGCTCCATTGTCGTGCATATTTGTTTGTAGCCGAACGGAAGCTCCTATAATATTTTGTGGGATATCTTGGATACTGCTCAAGTCTCCATTTAATTATTGGATATTTTACAAATATGTACGTACATATGTACGTACATTTACGCTAGTCAATGAGAAAACGTGGATTCTATCTGTCTTATAAATATTCATTCAAGGAACAAGGAAAACCCAATTAAATCCAAAACCTCATTCTATTTCAAATTTCCCCTAGTTTTATAGAAATATATATATAACGAAAAACGGATGATATGTATGTACAAATGTTATGTTTGGCTAATTCCATAGTTGGTTGAACTCTCTGGTGTCTAAGTCCATATCCTATTATATCCAATAATGGGGATGGAGTGCATTGATGGGGAAGCGCAAACAGACTAAACGCAAATAGACTAATTCGGTTTATTTATTACGCATTTCCTACCATTTTTATTATCATTTCCGTTGGGCATAAATCATCCTGGCCCAGAAAGGAGCAGAGCAGAAAGGATCAGGCAATGCGCACGCTTAGACCGAGAAACTGGTGCCGAATTGTGAGGCCTAGGACGGTGGCCAGAACAGGGTGAAAGACTAAAAAACGTGACAAATGCTAATTTAAAACCTCCAACCAACAGCATAAACTACAAACACCACCCACTCTCCACACCCACCATTCATGAGGATGGAACCTCATGAATGGAAACTTATGCTCAGCTCTTATGGTTCTTAACTGTTCGGGTCTCCTGCCGCCTCCCAACCCATCACTCGAATGAGTTGTTAAGCCAGGATGATGACTTCACAGTTTGTCAGTCAGGCAGTCAGATGGGTGGTTCCTGGTTCAACGCGGTTCTGGCTGGAGTTGGGGATAGTTTGTCATAGACTGCTGGTTGGTGATGGTTTCTGGTTTCTGGTTGCTCCCCTCGTATCGTGTCACATTTGCATTTGTCTTAAGTCGAGAGCTCATAAAACTCGCTTGCTTATTATTTTCGCTCAGCTTGTGCTTTGCTTGATGAATTTTCAAGGGTCATTGAAGGGGTAATTGTGGGATGGGAATTCTCCCAGCTTTAAAATGAGTTTGTTAAGCATATTGATAGAAAGAATAGGGTTTTTGATTCTAGCTTATCACAGGCAACAGAAATCTGTTTTCGTTTGATCCAGTTTAAGAATTTCTTCAGTTTTGATCAGTTAAATCCGATTCAATTTCAAATTGAATACATTTTACTTACCGGCTCGTAGTGCCTCCACGGGCACCGATGGATATGGCATCGGATATGGATACCCATCGCGTCTTAGGGCCTTGGGCTTGCGTCGCGGTCGGTACTTGTAGTCCGGATGCTCCTTCATGTGCATGGCTCTAAACACCGAATATTCTTTGAAATGACAGATACTCTGTTTCACATGTCCAAAACTTACCTCAAACGTTTGGCCTCATCGATAAACGGACGTTTCTCCTCCTCTGTAAGCAACTTCCACTCTGCCCCTGGAAGGGATTTCGTTCAAAATGGGGCTCGTTAATCCATTAGTAACATTTGGTTTTGGGGGATTGGGGACAGACAACACTCAATTCTCTTGTCAAATGCTGGCAACAATCGAAGTGCACTCACGAGAAGCTGTCGAACATAAACATAGTTCCCTACTTGGGGCTTGGGGCCAAAAACTTGTCTTGTCTGTTGAAGAAGGATAACAACAACCACCAATGTCGTTGTCAGTTCAGTTTTCTCTTGTCTCACCCTTCGCCTATCTCTCTCTAACCCTATCTATCCGTCTCTTTCCCCACCATTCTTGCCCACCCTTGGTTCCATTCGATTCTGACGAGCTTGTGTTGGCCCCAGCAGGTGGTTTTGGGCTGCCTTCATTATTGCGAATATTTCGGATAGGGGTCGGTCGAGCACAGCGCCGATCCTTCTTGAGGGCGTTGGCTGCGACGCTTACACATACAGTGATACACGTGCCACACAATCAAACACACACACACACACACAGATAAGAACATATGTATGTACATATGTATTTATGTATGTAAGTGGCACACAGGGTTAGCTTTTGGAGACCTACGGAGCTTATATCCCAGCTCCGGTTCATGATGTGTGTGTGTGTGTGTGGAAATTGCAAATGTTTTTAAGTTAATGTAAAATATCATAATGACATGTGTCGTACGATGTCTGAAGTGAGGGAGGGAAATATAACGCAATGGGCATGGGGTCATAGTAATAAGAGGCTTTCAGCCAGTTGAGGAGTCTGTTGCTAAGAGATTGGGGCTCGGGATGAGAGCTTTGGCAAAATGATGGTTGATCGTACTAACACATATTCTTATCCCATTTACTGTAGAATATCCCTATCTTTCCGTCTTATTGAGTCGTTATTGGCAAATTGAAAACATATATTTAATGGAAAACTAAGTAAACACACTTATCATCCACTGTAATCTTCTTAAACAATTGTACTTCCCTAATCACAAAGGAAAATCCAAGAAAATTTGGACATATTGTATATAAATTAGTTGATAAATTGCTGGCAAGGGGGACAGGGACAATTCGCTAATTAGTTATAACGTGTAATTTTAGTGGCTTGTCAGGCAGACACAAAGCCAGAATGGTGCCACATATGTATGTATGTACATATGTGAATACAAAGATGCACACATGGGAGATATGTACTCACAACACACATTGTTGTGACAGCACCCCTTACAGCCAAGAAGGAAACGAGTGTCAGACTCAGGCTCTGCCTGTGGCCCACTCAGGCACCCACAGCAAGTCAGATAAGGCAACAAAAACTATAACAAAAGGCCCAATACAAAAGCTCAATTGTACAGCCAGAATCTCCCGACTCCCCCTGGCCAACCACTCATAATGGTAAAATACTAATTTATAGATACATTGATAGCGTCCCAGTCCCCTGTCCCCTGTCCCCTGTCCACTGCCAAGTGCCTTCAGCCCATCAAATGAGCAACTTCTCGGTGCTCTCCTTCTGTGTGCGACACCTTCAAGAGAATGCCAGCCTGGAGAGCGGGTAACAAGAATTGAATGGTGCACTGGACGTTATAATAAACAAGACACAAGCAGAGGGTACGCTACGGCATGGAAAACATCTACAAGTTGAGCAGTTGAATAAACTACGAGTAAGCCCACAAAAGGATGACAATGACAATGTCTATGTTTGTCCAACGTCTATGATGTTGGCGCCCCTTGACCAAATACTGCACAAAGAAAGCTGCGGACGGGGAGGAGTTTCGGTCTCTCCCTATCCCCATCCGTTTGTCTAGTGCGTTGACTGGCGTAATAATTGATAGGAAAAACAAGCCATAAGTAGCAAAATGTTGCAACCTTACTGAGGCTGTTTCTGGTACAATTCTGGTTCAATTAACAAGTTTTTCCGGCCTGGAAAATGCTACACGTTAACATACAGAGCAAATATTTAACCGCCACCGGCTCCAATTGCAATTTACAGTTTATGTTGGGGTCTGCAGCTACACTTTTCACATATGTATATAATTTTGTACGTGTGTTGACCAACTACATGTTCCTGTCCCACATTCACACATTGGGACACAATCGGGCTACTTATGGGACTACTTTGCTTCTGTTCTTTGTTCTGTTCGGGGCCCACTCATAACATGGAGAGAGATTCAATTGTTTGTCCAGCAATTTAATGCTTTGAGAAACTGGGAGTTTTCCTCCTTCTGTTGTTTGACCAGTCGAAATTTGTTTTATTTACTTAGCTTTTGTGTGGCAGAAATGTGAGACGAAAGGTTAAAATCTTGGCTGGACATTTCGATGTGTTGGAAAATGCGTAAACTTATTAGACTAGAAAAAGATGTGAAATATATTCAAATGTATTGAATTGAAAAGAGGATAGAAATGTTTAATAATAACTATTACAATAATTAAAGTGTTCGGCATATTTCTTGTCCTTTGCACATGTATACTAAGCCGATAACATCGACTTACCCTTTTGGACCTCTTGATGCTGGTCGTGACTGGTCCCTTTAAAAAAAATTGCCCCTTATTTGTTCCGCTTGTTTTTGCTCCTGATTGAGCGTACTGTAATTAAGAGGGCACCGTTTGTGTATAGCCCCACAGACACAAATCCACACAACCACACACCTGTCAATTGCAAAGGCAGCAGCGGCGTAACCTTCACGCCCACTCACCCCTCCAGACCTTTTTTCGAAAGCTTTTCCAATTTCAAACTAATCAATTGTTTGCATTTTATTGTGCAACAAAAGGTTCTCGATGGTGTAGTGAAGCAGCGGAGGGGGTTAGGCCGAGAAGCAAAAAGGCTTGAGAGTTCAACCTTTTGTGCTCCAAAGCCAAGTCTCTTCTTCTTCCACGAGTTGGCCATTGTTCCGTTCAGGCAGTCATTTATTCAGTCGTTCAGTCAGTCTAACTGTTCATTCATCTAGCTCTCTTTTTACATTGTTTGGCATTATTTAATATTCCCGCAGGAACAGGCAGAACCGAAAGAAGGATCGGCAGCAGCTTTGATTAAAAATAAAGAACGCTGATTCGACAGGTTTTTCAATTATTGAGGAAATACAAAAAGTCAGTTTGTAAAAGAGGTTTTGTATATGTATGCATGTACATACATATGTACATATGTATGTAGCTAGACTCCCAGGAAGGACCTTTTGATATCTTTGAAAATCGGTCGATTCTATAAAAGGCTTTTAGGGCAATACTTATATCGGTTTTGAGTTCCTGCGTCTTCTACGAGTATATATAATCAAAGGTACATATGTATGTACATTGTACATATCTACATATTAAAGGTACATACATTTTCCGCAAAGATCTGACTGTTGTTATTGCTGTTGTCGCCTTTTGTTTCGGATGCTGCTGTTGTTGTTGGTAATTCAAATTTCCAGACAGTAATTAATGACAGTTACAATTTCAATTAAGCCCGGGCTCAACACAGAATTGTTTTCTATAACATTCACTTCGTTGTTGTTGAAGTTTTTTCCTTCTCGTTCACAATTTTTTTTTTTAATTCTGCCCGTTTTTGTTGCATCTTTTGTTGGGCTTTGTTTTTGTTTCTGTTTTGTATAATAAAATAAATGGCATCGCCGGCGGCAAACGGTGGCGGTGACGGTAACGGCGTCGGAGGCTGCGCCTGAAGAGGCCTCTCCACAGTTGCCAGTCCTTCTCTCTCTGTCTGTCTTTCTCTGTCCCACGCACACCCTCGTCTCACATACACACACATACACATACCATTTCTCTCTGTCCCTTTCTTTCCTGTATGTGTGTTTGGTAAAAAAGTAACTTTCGCGCCGCCATTTTTTGTGGCGCCTTTGTCTAGGGCACCGTTTTTTACTCTTCCTCCTTTTCCGCGCACTTTTGTGCCTTTTTCTGTTTGGCAATTTCTCATAATGAGCACAATTTTTTGTTGCTTTTGTTGCTGCTGAATTATTCATTTAATTGAATGCTGGCCTCAACTCAACTTTTCTCAAGTGCTAAAACTCTGACATTCTGCTCTCCCATTATTCGCTGATTTAATAAATTGTTCTTTCGGTTTTGTGGTGTAATGAAAGTTTTCAAAATTGTCCTCGACATTATTAATGGCTTAGAAGAAGTGCCAAGTTGAGTGAAAGCAAGTGAATGAGGAGAACACAGAAAGGTGGTAAAGGAGCAAGGGCTAGTTTATTCATCGCAATATTTGTGGCCATATTTGTTCTCTTGTTAAAGAAGTAATTCTATGTACATATGTATGTGTTCACGTGTTTTTATAAATGTATCCAACAGTTCCTGTATCTTTTTACCTCTTAGATTTGTTATATTTTATTATTTTATTACGAAACGTAAAATGAATATCACAGTCAATATTGTATGTACATGTGTATGGATGTGTATGTATGTATTTTCATACATTTATGTACCATTTATGTACATTATGTAACGCATAAAAAACAATTTTGGAACACTGTTAGATTTTATTTTTATAAAACCTTGTGGATGCCAATCCAGCTCTCTGTCCCTGATTCACTTTGTCCCACTTCCCACCTTTGCCACAAAAGAATTTTGAGAGCCCTTCTCCCATTCGTTCTCTCTCTCTCTCTAAACAAACTTAACAAAGACTGAAACTGACAGCAAATATTACACAGCAAAGAGGAGGGAGAGAGGGAACTGTCAATTCGCATAATGGATTTGCCAAAAAAGCAGAATAAAAAGAAAAATTTGAAGAGCCAACAAAGCTTTCATCCAAACACAAGGAAAACCGAAAATAATTCGAAATTCAAGTTTGCTTCCTAAATTGTGTTTAAGTTTTCTTCTTCTCGTTGATATGTTTACATAAACCCTAAGATAAGGGAAATTGGAGAGGGTTCCAAGTCTAAAAAGCTATTTCCCTGAAAGGAATAAGGGGAATTCCCACCAGAGCCAACCCCTTTTGTTTGAATGCTTCAAATGCAGCGAACTTCCTGCCGCTGTTGCTCTTTGGTTCGCTCAACTGAATGGCAAGTGAGTCGCATTTAATTTGCCATTGTTTTGGCCCAAACAATGGATAAATAAAAATGCAAGAAAAAATCATTAAACAAGTGCTACAGTGGAAGATTGGAAAAAGGCACCCGCCCTGGAGTTTTTGGATATTTTCTAGAAAAATGATCCAAGATGAAGTCGATGACGCTGAGGATGCGGATGAGTTGGATTCTTTATCCTCTATCGCTGTTATGACAGCATCCACAGAACTGATTAGTGCAGCACAGACCAGGCCAAAACTCAATAGAACAGCTTCGATTCTCATATAATATGCATGAGCTGATCAAAAAGGTAGTCTAGGGCCAGCCATTGTTATGCTAAAGAACTCTCCTGCCTGTCACTTGCCACGTGTCGGATTGAAATTGAATTTACTGCCCGAAAAATGCACGCCCAAAGACCCAAGACACGATAAGGCCTAGACCAGCCCGGGATTAGCTCTCCCCGCTCTCGATCCGAAGAATAAACTACTTAACTTTGCAACTAGTTAAGCGGGGCGAGACAAAGCCCTCAAGAGGCCAGGGCCGTGATTTGGCAAACTTTAGCGGGTGGGTGGCATACTGAACTTGCGGGAATCCCAGTCCCAAACGGAACCCCTTCTTCCAGCCATAATCAACAGCTTCCGCCTCGTGGCTGGTATGCTGCCGCTCTTCCTGCTCCATTGTTTGACAGCCGCTTGTCACTTTTGACAGTTGCGCTGAGTACCGGAGTTGAGGCGGGAGTTTTTGGTTTGTCATTGTCATTGTACAGTACAGTATTACGTTGATTAGTTTAACTTGCATAAGAGGTCGACACATACAGACACACCACACATACACATACAGATGCAGGTACAGATAATGATAAAGAGAAGGAGAAGGAGAGGCAGGAAGATGGAGCGAGAGACACCATACCATGGTGAGTGGGTGCGAGAGATTGGCAGGTCGTGTGCCGCATTTTAATTTCGTTTTGTATTGCCTCATCCTTTGTCTTCAGATTATATCCATTTCGAGGGCAAAATGTTGCCACCAGATAGCCAAGATTCTTGTGGTTTCTGTTACACGCACAACAACAACAGCAACAAAATACAACAATTTAAGTGAGCCGAGCTTAGCATTCTGGAAACAACAGCTTTGAAGGAGGCAATTGAGCCATCGTGGATACACAAAAAACTATCGATTTGCTTGGGGAATGGTACTTGCTCCTCAGGAACGTAAGCGATCAATTTTCAATTATGTCAGATAAAGGACTACAAATACTTCTGACTTGCCCGAGCAACTGGCGATAAAACATAATAAAAAATCGTTTATATTGTCACTGGAACCAATAGAATGAACTCATTTTTGGATCCTACTTACCCAGCCTCTTGGATATCTCTGAGTTATGCATTTTGGGATTATCCTGAGCTATTTTGCGCCGCTGCAGACGCGACCAGACCATAAAAGCATTCATCGGACGTTTGATGTGCTCCTCGTTCTGGCGCTTAGTTGTGTTCTGGATCATCAGGCTGAAGAATACATCGCTGGGGAATTATTAGAATTTAAATTAGTTGTTTGTCTGGCAACCCCGAAAATGTAGTCTGTTTCTCCGTTCCCGGAGTCTTGCTCACCTGGCGCTGCTGCCACTGTTCATGAGTGTGCCCATATTCTGGTGCAAGTTGCTGATAGGGGAGGACTGCGAGTTGTGATGCAAGTGGGCGGCAGCTGCGGCGGCCATCACGCTGCTCGATGCACTGGAAGCGGATCCGTGGTGTGCGGCACTGCTGTGGTGGTTGCTAGCGGATGCAGCCCCACCCGCAGACAAGTGGGAGCTGCCGTTGCTGTGGGGCTGGTGCAACGACTGAGCCTGGCTGTTGCTGTGGCTGTGGCTGTGGTGGGAGGAGGCAGACGACACCGCCGGCTGACCGTGTGAGGACGAAGTTTGCTGCTGTTGTTGCTGCAGCTGTCCTGAATGATGGTGCTGGTGGAGCTGGGAGTGGTGGTGTGCCAGATGCAGGGCCGAGTGGGGATGCAGGCTGCTCAATCCACTCGATCCGTTCGGGGAGCCGTTGCTGCTGTTGCTGCTGCACTGATGGTGCTGCTGCTGCGATTGCTGGTGCTGATGGCCCAGAGCCAACTGCTGACCTGCTGAGTGCAGGTGATGGGCGTGGGTGTGGCTCTGGTCGGACTGCTGGTGGTGCTGCTGAACGGCCGCTGCCAATTGCCCGAGATGATGCGATCCGCTGCTGGAGCTCACCGAGCTCAGGTGACTCTGTAGTGGATGAGCTAGCGATAGGCCGGTGAGCGACAGGTGTGTGGATAGACGTTCCATCATATTGCAGACGGAGCTGTGGCCTCTCTACGGCTGCTATTAGTCTGGTTACTCCCGGCACTGGCAACAGAGAGTCGAGAGATTTATGTGTTGAGCTCAGGTGGTTTGGATTGGTTTGGTTTGGTTAGTATTCCTGCTATGCCGATCTTGTGAATTGTTCCTAGGAAGTATCGGCCCCATGTGGCAACCGTAACAGAGAAAGATAAGCCAGTAAATCCATCCAATCGTAAAATGTAAGAAAATATCGTCCATCGCTCCTAAGACAATGGTTTTTGTGTCCCACAAAATTCATAATCTTTCCCCTTTCTTTTATCCATAATTAGTGTATTCCTGTTTTGTCTGGCAACAATTTTCATTACCAGTTCCCCTGAGATCTTTGTTAATCAATTAACTAATTGATTCGAGCTTTTAAAAGTATGTCGTCTGTGCCCATTCTTTGGAGTCAGCGAAACAATGCGGAATGGCCCGGCAAAGGCAATGGCAATGGACCTGCCCCAGAGCCACTTGCAAGCCGCGCTGGCGGTTACCACCTCAACTCGACTGAAATTGGATGCGAAACCTTTCCACTCGCCCATTGTCCGGGCCAAATGTCAACCCTTAAAGCCGTGTGGGATGCATACGCCAGCAACAACAGCGACGGCGACACCGACAACGGAGACGGAGATGGAGACGACGTCGTCCATCCTTTTCATTATGCGATCGGGCACTTGAAAACCATTTCTTTCCCATTTCCCATTTTACGTTTTGTATTTTATTTTTGCACCCAAGCTGCTTGTTTTGGTGGGTGAGAATTGGGATGGGGAACGTTGATAGGCTTCACTTTTAGGGCTTTTCAATCCCACATGTGCGTGCATTATAAGCGGGTTTTGCGTGGTCCACTTGATGCCCCGCTCCCTCCTTAATGTGTTAAATGTGAGGTGGGAGAGGAAAAGGGTCAAGAAGCCAGCGTCCGGCTAAACGCTTTCAATTTGTTTAATGGTCCCTTTCGGATTCGAATACGGATTCGGAGCATATCTCGAGTACAATCAAGTGCGGGCGTGCCGAGGACAGATGCCATATGCGAGCACTTATTCGATGCCTCTATGCCTCGTATGCCTTGCTCTTTGCATTCTCGCATTATCCTAGGAAAATGTGTCATCTGCAGTGGATATTTGCATAGAAAGGAGAACAGAGAGTGTTCTGAACTGGATCTGGAAGGTTGGCTGTCGATTTTGGCAACGATATTTCCAAACAATTATGTTAGCTAGCAAACCGAGAAAGACTCAAGAGAGTGACAGAGAGTTTGTCTAATAACAAGCAATCTGAAAAAAAAAACGATAAGGGACGTGTGACACGATTTTATGCGTCACAACCTCTATACCCGGTACTCAGTTAGGATCTCTGTATCTTACTGTTATACCAGTTACTCGAAGAGTAACTTTGTATTTGTGGGAAAAAAATGTAACACACAGAAGGAAGCGTTTCCGACCCCAAAACTTATATAAATATGTTCTTGATCAGCATTAATAGCCGAGTCGGTATAGCCATATCTGTCTGTCCGTCTATCTGTCCGTCCTTACGAGCGCCTGGTACTTAGAGACCAGAAGAGATAGGGCAACCAAGTTTTGCATCCAGACTTCTCTATGCTCACACTGTTGCAAGTGTATTTCAAAATTTGGCCCCGCTCCCTTCCGCCCTTCGGTATAAAAACTAAATCTTCTATTATATCTGTATTAAGTAAAAATATTGAGGAATAATTTGATAATACAACTAAATAACCGAGACTTCTCTGATTAATTAGAGCTTACTGATTGTTTTAATTTTCGTTATATTGCGACTTTTATTTTTATTGCTTTTTGGCATTTTTTCGAATGGAACATATTTACACTTCCAAATGTTTGGAAATATTAAATTTTTAAAAATAAATTCAACTGTTTCTGTTGCCATTTTAATTGCCGTTTATTTAGGAAAGACTATCTAAAAACATCTTACATACTTAATTATTAATGAAAATTATTATCTTTTATGTTTCAATATACATACATTCATATCTACGAGTATGTACAGATAAACTTGATCCCCATGTAAATATACTTTATTTTTATTACATAATACGCAGTAAGAAACTAAAAGACCATAACTATATTTGTATGACCTAAAAACAGGAAAAAACGATTAAAAGCATTTACGGATGATTTGCATGGGTTTGCACAGAATAAATCATTGATTCTTGTTTTTAACCAATTCCAGCCATTTGGCATATAAATTTCACCGTCTGCACATTATATGTCTACCACAGAATGTACGACAATTAACTGGTGAGGTGACCATGGACCATTCATCTCTATCTTTTTGGCTCTGTTGTTTTCTCTTGGTGTTCTCCCTCTCCTTCGTTCTTTCTGTCTTTGACTTTTTCTCTGTAGCTCTGTTCATTTGCATTCTTGGCCCATGAACAGGCCCATGGTCAATAACTTCTGTTGCGCTATGCGAGGCGACATCTGTACTGCTTCCGGGCATTACCGCGTGGTGTTAAAGTAAAAATTGCTCAGGCATGCGTATTAAGCATGAAATTTATTTAAAAATGAGAAACAGAAAAAGAGGAGCAGAAGAAGGAGCTGCAGGGGAGGGGAGCGGAGTCTTGGGACACGCATGCTCGTATTTGTAATCCTTATGGAGTGCAAACAAATTTCTGTGTTGTCAAGTTGCCTGCCTTTATTTTCATTTCATTTTGTATCGTTTCTCTTCCCTTTTCACGTCATTTTGTTGCAGTTGCAGTTGCTGTTGGTGGTGCAGTGGTGCACCACAGGCCACCATCTGAGGCGACGGTTGCACCACCAGCTGTGCACAAATTGCACTCCAGATATTTTTATTTGCTGTGAATATGGCAAGCCAAAGAGCTTCTTCTTTTCTTACATACATACATACATATACATAGATATACAAACCTATATAAAGCTGATATTTATTTGTAACGGATGTGTAACCGTTAAGCTGTTATAGCGTGGGCCTGTAGGGCACTGCATACTTTCCTAAGGTGTTAATCTAGCGGCCTTAATAGATAACCCAGCAGATATTTTATGTCTGGCCTTTCAAACGGAGAGCTTCTTTCCTCAGATATTCTTTTTGTATCGCAGTAGGAGTAAAAATTAACCCGATGGCCACTTGGGTTTCGGGGGCTATACCCCATCCCCAATCCCCAATCCAAACCCCTTCCAACAGGCATGCCCTGTTGTAGCTGCTTCTCGTTCATTTGTTCATCCGTTTGTTGGTGTGTCAAACAAGAATTATGATCGGCTTAGCCACATGCTGAGCCGAGCTGGAAGACGAGTTCGCTGCTCTGCCCCAGAGGAGTCGTCGCGGAGTCTCTGCAGTCGGAGAATCTCAATTCAGGTAGAGCTTTAAGTGTCTCCACTTTGTGTTGAAATGTATCGCATCGTAGCCATTCCCATTCGGTACCAATTCCCATTCCCATTCCCAATCCCACAGTCCCTCCATTCAAAAGTGTCTCTTGGCCGCCTGCTGGGCCCCGTCTTCTGCCGGGGCCCTAAGCCGCTGGGCCCCCTAATGTTTGTAATTAAGAACTTTCACACTCGCAACAATCGCCTCGTAAATGTATCACTCCCTACCTCGATTCCTACCATCGTTTCGCTCCTTCTCTTTTGGTTGATTCAGTGCCAAGTTCGTGTCAAGGGCAATGTAGATATTGCTATGGATTCGAGCTTAACCGAATATTTATTAAATTCTGGGCCAGCAGCACCTCTCTCGTCTAATGTATGGTATGTATGTACATTAATGTTATTGAATAAATAGGTTGCCTACACAATTAGGTTCACATAACATCTGTTCCGTTCGCATTTATTTGACGCTATTTGATAAGAGACGCAAAATAATTCCACAAAATTTTATTTACACAATTGTATTTGGCCTTCCCTCGGGTATTACCTAAACTCTCTTTCCCTACCCAGTTTTCTTGTTTGCTCTACAGTTCCAAAGTCGAAGGAAGAGTCAGAAGGGACGTCACACTCAATTCTTCTGGCCAATTATTGTCACAAATTTTGAGCAAATATTAGGACACATATTTTCTTTCTATTATTGGAGCTAATTGCGTCATTCCGTTTCTTTGGTGGTTTTGACGTTTTGACATTCTTCAACATATATTGTTTAGTTTTTGAGTTATACATGGTTGTTTGAAGCTCCTTATCAAAAATTAAGCTAACCAAACAAATTTGAATGATTCAATTCCTTTCAGGGCAGCAACAGAACTTGACTTAATTCAATTGGAAAATCGAAAACAAATGTAAACATCATACGAGAGGGGCCACAAAGAAACCGACCATGATGTGGCACAAAAAGAAGAGAGGAAAATCATGAAATTATCCAAACAAATAAATCTGTTGATCCTGCTTGTATGTATGTTACTCTCTCCATTTTTAATGCTTACCTAATTGATGGTCATATAATGTTTTTAATTTAACAATTAAATCAAACCCTCCCTTTAATTCTACAATCTAAAATTCCACCGGCCAAACTTGTTTGAGCTATGAAAACTGCAACATTTTTCAGATTAGTTAGGCAATGAACAGGCTTCGGGACATAGCTGAATGCTAATTGAGGAAATATTTCGCTTCTCGTGGCTATGAAGAAATCGATCTGGATTTAATTTTTTTAGGTGCGTATAATCGATGTTTAGTATTTAATAAGGAACGGATGGTGTAAAAAATCGGAATATGCACCTAAAATCTATGAAATTTGTTATATCAATAAGTGTATATATGTATATACTGCACTCTGAACTATAAGACCGCCTTTCGGCTTCGATTCTATTCATCATGTGCACCTTAATACGTTAATACGTTAATATGTTCACATTTTAGCATTTTTAATTTAAACTCTGGTTGCTTTATACTCTGGCAGAAATAACGATTAGAATTTGTTAGGTTCGTAGCGTCTCCGGCATTTATATAAATTAAATCGAGTCTTACCTTGGAAAGGTCTGCATTTCCTTTGTATATCCCGAGTTTCCGCCGATTTGAATTAAGCAATCGATAACACAAAGTGCACAGAATATTTGTATGTACACCACCAAATCATCTGATTAATATTTGCTTATGGTTTTTTGTTGTTTTTTTTATAGATTCCACTCTCTCTGAATTGCTATTAAATATTGCAATTTTAGCCTTTTATGATGTTGAGCTGTTTCTGTTGTTTCTTTTTCGTGAACAAATATGTTTGTCAAACACTTTATATTCATATGTATGGGATATCACTAGTTTATGTTGAATTTTATGCTGTTTACCTTTTATTCATTGGATCTTCGTCGTTTGGTTATTGTTATACCGATGGAAACGATTCTTTGAAGAATGAAGTTTGTGTGATTTGAAGTTTAACGAGAGAAATAAGTAGCTTAGGATTTCACGACTTTATGGGTGTTCTGTTTGATTTTTATTTGGGTTTGTTTTGATGAGGAGCACGTTAGTGAGCATAAATATAAAACCTGATATTGTTTGGGATATTTTCTTAAGCATAGACCACTGTTAGGATTTAGTTTAATAACGCACTTTATAAGTTTTGGAAAGTGTGAAAATTTCTTGTACATTCCGAACCTGTTCCCAAAGTTTGCTTTTATTTTTTTGGTACAATAAATATTTTGTTTGTTTGCGAGGGGGCTTTAACCGTCGCTGCTGGCGCTGCTTCTGCTGCTGCTGCCGTTGCTGGTCGATGGCTCTTGGCCAGTTTCTGCATCTAAGCGCGCTTTGGCGGCTATTCAACGGATACGTTCCGACGCGTAACTAAAAACTTGGCGCGCGTTCTCTTAGCCCACACGAGCCAAAAACGAGTCACGTCCCAGACATTGGCCAAGAGGGGATCGGACCGTGGCAGATTGGGGTCGGGCCCTGTTCGGCGACAGCTGCCCCTGCATCGCAGCCTATGTAACATTTTTGCCCCATACATGCACACACAGGCATACACACACACACACACACACACACACACACATCTAGCTCTCTCAGGAAAGAAAAACTAAACTTTGACTCCGCTCAAAGCTTGTGCTCTCTCTCTTTCTCTCTCTCTCTCTCTCTTGCTCCCCTTCGCAGTTCGGAATAACTTTTTTTGCCTGTCAAAGCTTTCTTTCTTATTGGTTTGATACAAACTCTCTATAGAGTAATCTGAATGATAGGAACCACTCTCTAAAGAGAGCAACACTTGCCTGTTGGTATTAGTGAGAGAGCGAGAGAGAGTGTCGGGGAGCCAGGTGACATTTCGGAGAAGAAAAAATAAAAAAATACAAATTTTAAGCGGCTGGAACAGAAGAGGGAAAAAGACCAAACCCAAATGAGAGACAGGGACAAGCAAGCCAGAGAGTCATGGAGAGAGACAGAGAGCGAGCCAGGGCTACGGAGGGAGGGCGATTAGCACGAACAGGTGTTGCGTTGGCGTGCGAGTGGGACCACTCTAGCAGCCCAGCATGGCGACTATTGCCATTGCACTCTGTGAGACAGAAGCAAACTAAATCCGGCCTGGCCTGGGCTGCGGTGGGCGTTTCCATTTCGAATGCTTCTGGTTGGGGAAGGTTTCGGATTACATGGTCTGCACCGAGCGGGCAACAGGCAATGGTTGGTGGGGTGTACGATGGTAAGGTGTTGGGTCTCACCATTGGGAGTGAGCTTTTTGGGTGGTGTTTGTAGTAAATTTACGCTCTCTTAAAAAAAGAAAAGGATGAAAAAAACCAAACTATCGAAATCAAAATCAACTAATCTTAATGGACGTTCATTTCTGAATTGAACAGAACACTGATGCTGACATCTTGCCCCAGCATTAACATTGCCTTTATTCTAACTCTGTTTCATGGCTAATTCGTAGAATTTTAACGCATTTAAACAAGCAGCGCATTGTCGGTATCATAACATGCTGAACGTATGTATGGATGTATTAATGGGATACAATATATGTATGAATGTACATATGTATGTATGTATTACATTTACATTACAGTTTCAGACATAATTGGTATGAAACCTATTTATGAAGTTTTTTTTAGAATATACTTATATTTAAAAATCTATTGAAATAATGTTGTGCCATTAAAAACTCTATACATCAATTAGATTGTCTATAATGTACAGGATCTATGTAAATATTCATGTATGTACATTTCTTCGTACCTCCCACTGTCAGACATTTCATCAGTGCTCGCTTCCATGTTGCATCATGGTATGTACCCAGAATTTACCCCTTATGATGGATCTACTATTGCATTTTCCATGTCTGGAATATTGTTGTGTCAATTTCCTTTGGTGTTGGTGGGTTGCCACGACAACAACCACTCGGGCACTCGACTCCTGCCTGACTCCACCACTGGCATTCGGCCCGCTTTGTTTCACAGCTTTTTGTGTGAGTGACTGGGTCTTGGGAAGGCAGGGGGCAAAGCAGGTGTTGCCATTGTTTTTGGGGCGGTTTTTAGCGCATTTTGATTCCCATTTCTTTTGTCGTCTGGCACTTGGGTTTCATTTTAATTAACAACAAACTAATGACAAACAGGCTAGGTATACGTACCGTATAAAAAGTACCTGCAAACACTCTAATTTAATTTGACTCTAATAACCAAGCTTATCTCATACGAAAATTGGCGATGGACACTCTGCCAGAGAGTGAAACGGAAAGAGAGAATAAGACTTAGTTAGAGAGACTGAGAGAGAGGCTTGCTGCCTTTTCGCCAATTGTCAGTCAACAATTGCGAGTTAAAAACAATGGAACACATTTTTGCAGCCTTCTCCTAACTCGGGACTGACGGATGGACGGATGGATGGATTGATGCAAGGCTGGTTGGGCGGACTGCAACTGTTCTATTTATTTGGACCTGGTTCTTGTCGGTCTCCATCTCCTACTCTATCCTTCTATGATTTTGTACTTGGCTCTGTCCATTGTCTTTGGCAATGTCTCGTTCTCGTTCGCTTTTCTCTGTGTCTGTCTCTCTTTCTCTGGTAGTCACCCATTGTAGTTATACACTGCACTCACCTGAATGCCCAAAATGGCTCTTATGGCCATAGTAAAGGTTTCACCATTTGTTCCACCAAACAAATGTCATGGAACCAAGTGGAACGATATAGGATATCTGCCATTAGGTTTAAAAAGCATTCGGACAAACGAATACATAAAAATATATTTTATATCGTGGACTCATTTGAATTAAAGAGATTGCTAAGAGAATTCCAATTTAATTAATTTTGTCGTTTAATTAGCACATTTCCATGTACCATCATTTCTATACTTGTCACACTAACCTTGGTCCGTAAAGATTTTTATCGCATATTTGCGAATTGGTGACCTCGATAGCTAAGGGAATCTGTTTGTTTGTTTTTTTATCAGAGCATTCAATGTTCTCCATTCCTCTCGCATCTTTCTTTTCTACCAGCCTTCTCTTTTAGCTCCCTTTTCTCTCTGCCCAGTTTTTCGAAATGCATTCTGGCTGTGCCTGTGCCTGTGCCTGTCTCTGTTTTCTGTTTGTCTATCTGGTCATTGTGTGTTTGTCATATTTATCATGGCAGTTGCTTTAGCTTTTGCATTTGCCATTGCATTCTCTGCACTTGCAAATAAATGTTAATGAGTAGTTAGACAAAAAGCGCTGACAATGGCGGACTTTGACTGACAGACTGACTGAGTGACTGAGTGACTGACTGCAACTAAAATACATGATAATGTGATGAACAACCTGATGAGGGATTTACCATCTTGCTGAGCAGCGGCGAAAAAGAAGCAACAATCGCAACGAAAAGAATTTCAATGGAGCTCTAATGCCTAAATCGCTATTGTTGGTTGGGGCTGGAGAGGTTGCCAAGTTGAGCATGGGGGATACATCCATACTCACTCCTGTCACGCTTCTCATTTTGAATAGAACATTTTGTAAAGACTCAAACAACAATTGGGGGCGGGTTGAGGTGAAAAGACTTCGTTGCCATGTAAATTTGTGCACTTTTTGTTGCTCATTAATGTTAATCAAAACGCAGAAAAAGACGAGGAAAATCATTTGAATTTTGGGTCGTGTTTTGCTTGCCGCTTGGGACTGAAGAACTGAAGCCATTCATTCCCATTCCAGTTCTTCATTCCCCTCAGATAGAAATCATATAGAATTTCATAGGCCACAAGACAAACAGTTTCTGCTCAAGCGATCGGAACATCAGCATGAATCCATCGAACAATTGTCGCAAACAAATGAGATTGCCATCATTGGGCTTGAGTGCGTTTAATCCTTGCGAATCCTTCCAGAACACATGACAGGAGATGCAGCTACAGACCCTAACAAAGCCCAGATTTGCTGCAAATAGATAAGCAAAAGGAGAAAAAATGAACCGCATGGAAACTGGCACACCGATTGATACGTCGAAATCAGATAACAATGAAAAAATCATATGATTTTTGCGTTTAATACCACAAAGGAACTTAAACTCTGGTGTATCTATGGAGATAACTTGCAAGAAATGAACAGCTCTCCTGAATGTAGTCAGAGTTTAATGCGTGTCGAAAAAATCGAAATATATAAGGAGAGACATACGACTTATGGCTTTGCAGTTTGCAATGATTGCAGCGGCTCTGGGGTCTGGGGTTCCGATAAAATCTTTCTCTTAATCGTCGGCATTTAAAATTACCGATCGGTTGAGAGACAGCCCAACTGTCTGTCCTCGTCATGGATGTCCCAGACTACTGCCGCTTGTCCATTAGTACAGTCCAGTCCAATTCCCATTTTTATTTTACTTGTCTGGGACACTGACCAACTGTTTTTTAAAGCCTGTGAACAACATGATTAAGCATTTTGATAGGACTGTTTGCGTCTACAATAAACGTCAGGCACAGGGGGAAAGGTAGCTCCTCTAATCAATTGATCAGTGCGACAGGCTGTCTGGGCTACATAGGTCCAGGTTCGTTCAAGTTGTTTATTTAGCGAAAAGTTTAGTAATCAGAGTAGAACCACATACATAAAATCGATTTGACGCCTATTTAAATAAATTTTTTTTTGTATTCAAAGTGCCCTAAGTGTTGGCACTTGACCTTGCCTCAGTTTTTTTAAATTTTGGTTAAGTTTTTTTTGACGTTGCTCTCTTTGTAGACTGCTTCTGGTGCATCTGTTCCTGCTGGTTCCTGGTATGTTCCAATCTTGCTCTCTGTCTATCTTCTTCTTGCTGTCTCTTTACTTCCCTCTTGCGGGGAGGTGAGCATTATCCTGTCGGCCATTCGTAACGCTCCACCCGCTGCGTCTTTGTCCCATAGACATCAACGGGCACCGGGTTAGAGACAATGACGCGCACAAAAACACCTACGTGCCCGGCCTGAATGGCAGGACGCGGGCGGCTGTTGCCAAGACAATGGACATGCAGCAAATTGAAAATTCATTCATGTGAAACGAGGCACGCTGTCGGGGAGTAGACAGCCAGCAAGGTGGAAGTCTGACCACGTCCACGTCCACGTCCAGGGGTCTTGGGCATTAAAACACCTTAAAGCGGATTATGGGAATTTTGACACTTTTTCGGCGTATCCTTAGCCCTGCCGAGAGAGGAGAGCCGAGAGTCGAGTGCCGCAGAGACCATAAGAGAAGACGTTGCGCCATTGAGAGATTCGTTCGGGATGTGATACGACT